AAAAAGGAGAGAAGGTAGGGGAGAGGACGACCGGAACCACGACACCGCGCACACCGGGGAGAGGACGACCGGAACCACGACACCGCGCACACCGGGGAGAGGAGGTGCGTGAGAGGACGACCACAACCACAACACTGCCCATACCAGGGAGAGGACAACCAGAGACCACGACACCGCACACACCGGAGAGAGGAGGTGGGGCAGAGGACGACCAGAACTACAACACCGCACACACCGGAGAGAGGAGGTGCATGAGAGGACGACCGGAACCACGACACCGCGCACACCGGGGAGAGGACGACCGGAACCACGACACCGCGCACACCGGGGAGAGGAGGTGGGGGAGAGGACGACCGGAACCATGTCACGCCACACACCGGGGAGAGGAGGTGCATGAGAGGACGACCGGAACCACGACACCGCGCACACCGGGGAGAGGACGACCGGAACCACGACATCGCACACACCGTGGAGAGATACACAGACGCACACCTACAAACCAAAGAGAGGCTAAGCAGATTCAGAGGACTGACCTGTTCCCCCAGTTTGGGATGCCAACACTCTGGATGATGAAGACCACCACTTGGAAGAAGAAGACGAAGAAGAAGAAGAAGAAACTGAAGGAGCTGTCTGACCTGGATCATGAAAAAAAACAAACTGTCATGAGGAGGAATTACGTTGTCTCAGTATCAAAAACACAAGTGCACATAATCATCATGGTCACCTCATGAAAAAAATGCATAATGAACAAAGAGCATGATCTGGACAAGCTGGTCTGGAATTATTACAAAGAGGTTAATTAGAAAGAGGTTACAAAGTAATTAGAAAGAGGTTACAAAGTAATTACAAAGAGGTTACAAAGTAATTACAAAGAGGTGATTTGTATTTTACAACATTTGAGCCAAGAAATAACTGTCTTCTCCCTTAACAGGGGAAGACGTGAAAATGCCGCTTGAGGGAAAAACTCACTTGAAGGCTTTGTACACAGGTCTATACCAGCAGAGGAAGGAGCAAGGGCTGAAGAGGATGAACCAGAGGATGGACAGGCCGAAGTCCACCCCATGAGAGGCTTCCACAGTGAAGTAGGACAAGCAAGCCAGCACGTTCAGGAACAGGGTCACGCAGTGAACTGCAGGGAAAGGAATGGTGAAGGTCACTGCGACTCAATACAGGATCCACAGTGACACACAAACTGCGGCTGTCTGCCGGTGCTGGTCCCTGATGGCAGCCGCACATGGTGCAGTGTTATTTACTGTCGGCTAATATGCTCACTGTCTTTCTTTATTGGGTACAACTTTGTACAGGAACAAACACTTCCATTGTACTTTGTACACGTGACACCTTAAACATCAGCATTGTACTTACACATCCAAAGGTAGTACATCATCTTGCAGACTCTTTGGTATTCAAGAGGAATGTCTTCAGCAAAGTCTTGGTAGAAGCAAGGTTTTATGGGAAAATGCCGTGGAAGGGGGGGCCAGTTATTTTCTTTGCCTGTGGAGAGGGACTCAGTGATCAAACTGGATGCCAACTACAGCACCCCCCCCCCCCAAAGTCTGTTAAACAACTGCATTCTATCCCTTTTTTCTGTCAACATACACGACCTGATTTGGTAGATTAAACTTACGATACAATTCTGAGGTGTGAAAATATTAAAAACATGCCAAATGTACAAACAGACGTTCAACACTGAGAGCAATATGACTGACTCTCTCCTCTCACTACGATTAGCATTTTTGCATGATAGTCTTTGATGACAGCTGCACAATATCCTGCTGTTTGGGAGGTGAAATTCAGTGAAACTAATATTTTCTGTAGCTACAGCAATAATGCTTCCAAAACACTAGTGTCGTCTCCTGGAGAGGTTCCGGGAGGCTCTAAACTTCAGAGAATCTAAAATCATATCCAATTTAAAGCCGCACTGCAGTAAGCTGCCCGCCCGTCACACTCTGAAGCCGCTTTGCTGAATTTCCTGTGGCTTCTGGTCTGAGTCATGAGCCCTCAGCCAGTCACTCTGCCCTGCGGAAACAGCGAGCTACAAGCACAGCGATGGTGCACATGTTCAAAACCGCTACCAGTTTAATTCTGCAGTTTCCAAGCAGGGCTGACAGGGGAGGGGGGACCGAGGTGACGCTGAGCGGAAGTCGAATGTTGGTGCCCTGCTACCGCCAGCCGGGGGAGCAGACTCACCTGTGGCGGCTCCCCGACTACGGAGCTCCTGCTCTTTACGGTCCAGTTCAGCCGCCTTTCTCTCCAGCTCCTCCTGCTGTCTGAGGAGGTCTGCCTGGGCGGCGGCAGCCGCGGCCTGGGGGCACGAAGCAAAACCACATCACAAGGCCATGAGTGGCTGAGGCGGTCATGCAAGTCAAGAGGCACCTTTCTCCAGTCCAGAATAAACTGTCCAACATAAACATAATTCTTTGTGTTCTGTTCTGATGTGAGGTTGTTACAATCAGAATTTATACTGAAATTTCAATCTAAAAGAACGTTTTGTTTTTCTTTCCCCTGCGATTGCTTATTTTACACTCACAAACTCTTATAAAAAAATCATTAAATTAGTGAATCTGTAGGATCACTGTTTTCTATCTAAATCAGTCATGCCAAATCTTTCTGAAGCATTGCCTGTGTTTCCTGAGTTTCACTTCTAACAGCTTATTTTGCTGCTGGCTTGTCTCAGAAGAGGTATCAACCTGTGCACTGGGCTCCACCGATGGCTGCAGTACGGCCGGCTGGGAAGGTGACGCGGGGATAGTGGTCCTGTTCTGCATGTCCTGAGGCACAGGATCCAGGTGGGTTGTTTTAATGCCACAGCAATAAACAGTACAGAACAAACCTTTATCCGCATTACTAACAGGCAGCTAAGTCACATCGAGCCACCTCACCCCCAGATAAACTCACTGCCAGTTCTTAATATTCCTCTGATCCACCAAGGATTTTAACTTATTTGAAGATCTCACCTGAGAGCTCTCAGAGAATGGGTTGTATTCTGAGACGCGGTCCGGTCCACTGCCGGTCGCCTGTGTCACCGAAGGATCCTGTTACACAGCATAAAAAAAGAAACCAGCATTTTATTAGAGACAAGTTACATACCATGTGACAAAATATGAAGGAAAATTTACAAGGACTTTCTCATGACGAATTCTGGAAGTGGAACTGGGTTGGACAACATTAGCATGGCCGATCTGTGTGTGCTCAGCTAGATTAGAGTCGCCTGTCTTTTTGGTTCTCCTCCCATTTAGTCTTTTAACACCATGTACCTATTGTTAAGCTCTTTGGGAAAAACTGGTTAAGGAAGGTGTCAAATAAAAAAATCAGTGCAATCAAACCAAATAATACGAAGTTTTCCAAATGATAAAAGGTGACTAATAATAGGAGCCGTTGCTACAAACTGGTGCATTGTTGAGTGACACGCAAAGACACGCAACCATAGGGCAATTACTCCAGACAGGTCTGACTTCTTATAGCAAATGCTGCGGGTTGGTCTGGATGGGCAGCGGCCGGAAGCAGCGCCCGCGAGCTGTGACGTCACAGCCCGTCCCGCCTGCAAGCTCCGCCCCCACAACGCGGCACGCCTTTGCTTTCACGTACTACAAGACTTAAGACAGTTCGGTTTTTACAAGTATATTAATGGAGTTCGATCATCAGTATTACCAATAAGAACGCGCTTTAAAATAAACATATAGGGACAATCTTACCACTCGCCATTAAACAGAGCGCAAAATGCAATGTCCTATTTATCAGGAGAACGCAAATGCCTTTAAATATACATTTTTATGAGTGTTCAGTGTTTTTAAAAGTTTGAAAGCGAAAAATTAGGTTTAAGGTTTATTTATTTTAAAAGGGAATTCCTAAAAGTCTTATATGAAAAAAATATTGCAGTCGTTGTTTATGATATAATGTTGATAAACACTTTAAACACTATGCTGCAGTTCATAAAGTAACTCGTCAATATCTTACAGCCGGGAGCATATATAAAACGGGGTATGTAAAGAGGTATAGGTTTTATTCAGTCTGATTCTTAACATAAAACCTGTTCAGTCGATTTCAGGTTGGTCAAATGCGTTTGCTAACGTCACATTTCTGGGAACAAAACCTGATAAACTTAATTTCTAATAAAAGCAATTTGTGTTTCGGGCTAGGCTATATCAATACTGAATTCCTCTTCTATTCACTTCAGCCACGTCGGATAGGTGCTCTGATGTGCTACTATAAAATAGTGTTGATTATTGCACAATAGCCGGAGGTTTGAGGGTGGGATCCTCTCCCTGCTTCGATCCGACGGTCATCGTTGGGATTCCAAAGAAAAAGGAAAGTTTCGATCTAAAGCAGGTGCACGGAAGCCGGGGTCGCCTGCCCGTACGCATGTTAGTTACAACATCGCCGATGTTTTGCCCAGATGTCGCTATAGTATAGATCACGCGGTGAAATGCGATGTTCCAGTGCAGCCCCTTCGGTAAACTAGTCCAAGCAGCACAGCGAGCTGCCGGAGCAAATGCCGTTTCATCCTGGTTAGTTTACGAGCTGGTGTGGGGTTACAGGCGAAAAAGGGCTATACACCTGTTGTTGCAGGTCAACGTCTGGCTGATCAAATTAAGACATGTATAGGGCCATTGAGCAGGAAACAGTTGTCACACCACTCGGTACTAAAATACTTTTTCTTCTATGTGTTTTCAGAAATTATAACCAAAACGCTAAGAAGTGGACAATACAGTAAAGTAGGGATCCCGTCTTTTAATTGGATTACAAAAATTACCTTCTGAACGAGACTGGCTGGCATAGATGTCCATCATGATACGTAGCATTAAAAATGCGCGCTAGACCCACCCAAAAAGCAACCCAACAGGTTTCTGACAGTATGTACTTAGAAAGTTTTCTTTAAAAAAAACATGCGTCAATTTTCACTTTTAGTGCGCATTCTCACCTGGAAAGGGTTGAGATCTAGGGGCTCCGCAAAGGGGTTGCTGTCAAATCCAGACATTCTGAGACGGTTATCCTCAACCCCCCCAAAGCAAACAAAACCGCCGTTTCACTCCTCTTTTCCCTTGTGTTACGAACTCAGGTTACTTCCTCAAGACCGAGCCTAGTACGCATGCACAAGAGCTGCAGGTGACGTGTAGCCTACGTCACCAAAGGTGGCTCTAATGTCGAAAAAGCATGTATAATTGGGTATGTTTAAATACATGATAATTCCTTTATTTGCCATTTGTACAAGTACAGGAACACTGTTATTATTCTCTTCGCCGACTCCATCTTGATCTCCATAGCTTTGGGTTTAGAGCATAGGGTCAGCCGACGTGCGGCGCCCCTGTAACTTTGCTTATGGGCCATGGACACGTAACTGTTCTGCCGAGGCCGGAGCTCGAACCGAACCGCTGAGTCACTCACCGTTGTATATTTTCAATTTTCAATGGTTACTTTCACCCACAAAAGTTGCAGCTATGTCCGGCAGCAATTAACATCTCCCGACAAGCTCCGCGGGTATTGTAAATAGTCGCTGTGTGTGTTATTGTAAATAATTATGTAGTATTCCCTATTGCATGTGTCCTTGGTTGTGTCATATGTGAATCCTGTGCGATCCTCGCATGTCTTTAGCCATTGTATAAATTACCCACCGTGTGTGTGCCTTACAGTCCGGCGTCCGACCTCCCTGTGGGCCCCTGGTGGCTGGTCGGTGTTCCATATCTGGTTTAGTGCTCTTGAAGATTTCTACATAGGCATGAAAGCATTGTATGTGTAATGTTTGTTTTCTGAATGGCAATTTTAAAGGTTGTATTGTCGGGCAAATCAAATAAAAAAAGTAATATATTATTTATTAATAATAAATTATGAGAGGGTTACCTAATAGAGATTTCCTTCATACCCAGCATGCTTTGCAGCCCCAGGAAGAACTGTGTAAGTGTTCATTTTCTTAATGTGTTATTGTTGTTTTGTATGTTGCGAATGTTTTATCATGTTTTGTGTTAGTGGTGCATGTATGGAAATGTCCACCCTGAATGTAAGCTACATCAAAATTAACCACCTTGTCTCTGATGCCAATAATAAAAGCAACTTTTTTCATTCTAATGAAATGTCATAATTTCCTCTATCTTGATCTATGAGCCAGTATCTTGATCTTGACCATAATCTCATTACTGTGAGAATGTGGGATGCAGCCTGTCGATGTGATTGACAACCCAATGCAGCAACTTTAGCGCAGTAAGATTTCGAGATGGTGCAGAGAAGTGACAGCTGACCAGAGGGGAAACTGGGCACTGAGCGCTTTGCCTTACTGGGATAACCTGATGAATGGAGTGTGCCCCACCTGCCCAGGCAGCCACACTGGCACCATCTGCATCTGGTGTAGAAGAAAGCTGCGGCTCTGTGGCAAAATGCAGTGTCTGGACAAGTGGCCAGTAGAACAAATGCAGTGCTCAGGAAGTCTTGGGACACATGCGTCATATTCAGTAAAAATATTACAAATTTAATGGTTTTATAACAAAAATCATTATTTAAATCATTTGTTTACAAAAATATCACATTAGAAATGACCAGTAGTTTTAAGTAAAACATTCAAGTAGTAATAAATTGAAACCCAAATTACAGTTCTAAAAGAGCTGTACTCTCTGGCATTGGAACAGCATAGAGCTGATGACAGAGCGGTGGCCATGGCTGAGGACTTCTGGACCAAACGACGATGCCTGCAGACCTCTTGCATTCATCCAGCCCGTTCGTATGCAGCTGCAGGGCCTGGCCTTCGCCAAACGCCTCACAGTATCTCTGAGCACCGCAGTTTCCTGGGGCTCACTTCGTACAACAGGCAGTTCATCAGAGATTTTCCAGCACCACCAAGCCGCTTGCAAAAAAGGGCCGGTGCTTTGAGCAGACTTAAGATTGTGCCACAGCCTTTGACTAGCCGGCATATGGAGTCTGGAAGTGCTGCAGAAGTATGAGTTGGATCTAGCAGCAGTTGGGGAGACTCCTCAGTGACTCCGATGGTTTCCCACACCCCTGTTAAGTGGGAGACTGTTGCTAACAGTTGAGGAACACAGCCAGAGGTGAGTCACCGCGGCAATGGCTCAGGTGGTGGCTGAGGCCACGGAGCTTCAGGCTGTTGACCCCCAGTAGCTGAATGATGATCAGAGAAACAACCTGGTGCTGGCTGAGGTTGACTGTCCCGAAGTCAGAGCACAGCCTGACAGGGGTCAAGAGACTCTGGGGGGGGCTGCAGGCAGTACACAGAGATGCTCGTACCCAATCTCGACACGTGCACTGTCTAGAAAGGCCCAGCCTGCCAATCCTGGATGCCCATGCGGCCATACCTGATGGGGGCCCCTGTGGGGATAGTGGGGGGTGGATATCCTGGGCCCATTCCCAGGAGGCGATGCTGGGAACCGTGCTGGTGGGTAGGGGCCAGGTGGCCAGAAGCGTAGAGAGTCCCCAGTCAGAGTGCAGTCACCACCGCTGAAAAGCTCATTGAGTAGCTCTTCTGCAGCTTTGGTATTATTGCCAGAGGAGCTGCACCACAGGTGACCAGGGAGGTCTGTAGGCAACTGGTAGTCACTGTAGGGGACTTGGTGTTGGGGCCACCTCAGAGTCAGAGGTGCCAAAGGAGTCCCGCATAGTGTTCCTGTGGTGTCTTGGAGCACCTGAAGAAGGCGCAAACTGGTGACATGACACCAGGGTCAGAAGTGTGCCTACGACATGCAGCCGTGGACAGGACTTCCGTGCCAGTGACTTGGTTTAGGGGTACTGCCCTACGAGGAAGAAAGGGTGGTCACCCAAGCTGGACCGTCACTGGGGAGGACTGGGAGAGGTACTGTAGCAGGATGGATGGAAAAACAAAAACATCACTCCCGCTTTTCAGATGGAACAGACAGACAATAAAGATCTCTCACACATGGAAAACACAAATGAAGGAGGTGAAGCTGTTTCATTTCAAGTTCTTTTTAATAAGCTGATGATTATTTGATCATAAACTCGTTTGTACAGCGATAAACATTTTAAGAAATATTACACAAATTGCACTTTATACATATGACTCGGTCCTGAACAGCTCACACTGAAATACAAAGCTGAAACTGGATTGCGTCATTTACACAATCTTATGTGGCATAAAACACTTTTAACATTAATACTTTATATATAAATATATAGGGTGGTACAGGATAATATATCCTTTTACATCAGGTCAATTTTCAGATGTACACTAAAGCATAATCATTAAATTATTAATTTGTATTGTATATATGCATGTGTATATATGTATACATACACACACATAAAATGTATAGCAGAGCATTCCTTTTTCCAGTGATTAGTTCATTCACCTTTGCAGGATGCCAAGCATAACGACTCAGACCATCACCAGCTTCAGTTTATTAGGCTGCAAAGAGGAAGTGCAGTGCGGCCCTTCAGCGCCCCCAGGAGGTGTAGCAGCAGTAAAAGGTGACTGCGCCCTGCCAGGTCGGCCGCGTAACCCGGCACAGAGCCGGCACTGAACACCAGCGACGACACACGCTGCTAGGGGCAAAAGGCCGGTTGAGAGTAGTTAGGAGTGTTACAAAAGCCCAAGATTCCTTTCGTATATGAGGAAGAGATTGACTTTTTTCTTCCAGTTGCATTTGATGAAAAATAAATGAAGTACAAAATTGTTTTTCCCACAGTATATGGCGAGTATACACAACCACTAAGTTACCCCCCCCCAAGTGCAAGCTAAAGTGATTATGGGTTAAAGGCCTTACTAATGTCTGAGGAAGGAGTGTGGGTGTGGTTTCACATAAGCACGACCTGATTGGTCCTCGAAAAAGTGGTGTATTACCAGCAGTCTGCCATAAAGAATAGAACCACATGTGAGTTTATGTCTAGAAACAGACACACAAGCTTTGGTGTACATCTAACAGTAGTAACCTACAATATGTGCATCTCCGTTTGAAATACCAGAATTCACATAAGAGTATTGCACAGGTGACATCGTCTTGCGTACACAAGCACACCATTTGAGGCATTTTGAGGTTACTGGGGCTTCTATTGGATCTACAGATGGCAAAGACTGCTGGACACATTGTCAATCTAACAGTAACAATGATAGTAGCTTTAATATTGAGATATACTGGCTTCAGTATTTGATTACCTTTCATGTGCACCATACAGACAAATACACTTCCCAGCTCCCGCTCCAATAGTGATGTAGTATTTAGAGTAACAATGGTGAAACGTCAGTCTAGATCGAGGAAGACTAAGAGTACAATAGCTTCAGATGAGGTAAACAATTAACCCCTTGTGTTTTTTTGCACAAAGGCAATTTACAGACCTGTCGGAGTAGGTGATGGTTTCTGATAGCTAGATTTACCGCAGCAAACAGATGTCAAGTGTGTTCCCATCTGCTCTACTGAGCTGCCTTTGCAGGTCTAAGGCAGCAGGACCGTGGCTGGCAGTTTGGTGGCGGAGGCCTCAAGGCGGATGCCAGAGTGGGCAGCGCAGCGGCGCCTCCACGGTAAATATGCCAGCCAGTATCCCAGTGCCTGCATAAGTCTATCCTTAACTGTAGCCCGCCTGGCGCCATGCAGCAGTAAAGACAGTAACTCCCAGAGAGCCACCCGCTCGCCAGCCTAAGGGGACAGTGTCTGCTCCAGTGACTGCGTGACACTACTGCAGGTGCTGAGCAGCCTTGCCACTATGGCCATGCCCATGGGCTGAGGTGGCATTTCACTGGCCAGAAGAAAGCAAGGTGAGAAAGGAGTTCAATCTGACCACTGGCGCACAAGGGGACGGCCCAGGAGACCACCTCCCAGGTCTACACTAGGGGACGGTCCAGGAGACCACCCCCCGGGTCCACACAAGGGGATGGTCCAGGGTCTCCACAAAGGGGACGGTTCCTGAGACCGCCTCCCGGGTCCACACAAGAAGACATTCCAGGAGACCACCTCCCAGGTCTACACTAGGGGACGGTCCAGGAGACCACCCTCCGGGTCCACACAAGAGGACGTTCCAGGAAACCACCCCCCGGGTCCACACTAGGGGACGGTCCAGGAGACTACCTCCCAGGTCTACACTAGGGGACGGTCCAGGAGACCACCTCCCAGGTCTACAGTAGGGGACGGTCCAGGAGACCACCTCCCATGTCTACACTAGGGGACGGTCCATGAGACCACCCTCAAGGTCCACACAATCATCGCACACACAAAGGGGATTCATCACCATTTAAGTGCTACACCCATAGACATGACAGTAAAAACCAGGAACACATACAATGGTAATGATCATGATAATGATGATGAAATTCAAGTCCTTATTTGGTTACTTTAACACTGATACCTCAAAGGGTATTTTAGGGTGAAACCAAGAGGAAAAGGCATCTTGTGAAACAGGGCTGTTACATTTACTGCAGTAGGGAGCATAACAGTAAATGCAGTTTTTTTTAGGGGAAACGTGACTGTAAAGGACAAGCTAAGGTGGTCCCTAGATCTCCCCCCCACAGAAGCAAAGAGCAGCACGAACACAGAAGAATGAGTCGTTTAAAAAAAATCTATTTCTTTCAAAAATACGATTGATTTGCCACAGATAACTGTTTGCCTCTAACTACCCAGTAGCTACTGGTGTTCCAGCGTCATATTCATACATATATCGCATTTTACACATTTATATAGATACACTTTCCACAATCATGGAAAGGGAACAGGATAGTTTATGGTTAGCAAACTTCACTGAATTATCTGAGCCCTCCGTAGCAGCCGCATGTGTGTTTCGTTCACGCATCCTGCCCGTCCGTTGGCTCTGCGGTGCTTCATTATCCAGCCCCCCCTGATATGGTGCCGGCCGAGCCTGGAGCTGTAGGCCATATCACTGTGTGGCGTGTCACGCCACCCCACTCTCCTCACTGCCGCTGCCAGAGGGGGGGGTGGATGGAGATTTGGGGTGCAGAAGTACCTTTGTGGCTCATCTTGCCAATCAAGGCCCATGACAGACACCTTAAAGGGCAGGTCTGCTGGCTCCTCCCACTGACCAGAGAGTGGTGCTGCAACACTCAATCACTTCTGCTCTCTGCTGACGTGGATGACCGAGGGGGGAGTGCTGATGCCGATAAACTGATGAGCCGAGCAGCTTTGCACTTGGCGTCTGTCATACCATGAATTCGCTGCTGCCGTACCGGAGCTGCTGCGACACGTCTTGCCCCCCCCCAGAGCCAGCCTCCTCGGGGGGCTTCTGCTCCGGCTTCTTGGGGGACATCTTGGCAGCCTTCAGCTTCAGCCGGCCCTTTTCCGCGCTGTAGGTGCCGTGGCTGATGTAGAGAGGCCTCGACTCGCTCTCCCGGTCTGGGCCGAGGGAGGCCGACCCGAGCCGAGAGGAGCGAAATTGGTCAGACGAGGGTGACTCGGAGCGGAGGTGGAGGTGGTGCGAGGCACCAGGAGGACATGGGTAGGAGGAGGCCGTGGAGCCAGAGTCGGTGGAGTCCAGGGAATCGGGCTGCCGCCTCAGGACACGCCGGCCCCTTCCCGCCACCTTCCTTGGCCGGGAAGGGGGACCCATTTGGTTTCTCTCTGCAGGGTGACACAGGGCACAGAAATGAGAAAATGTCACCCCCTATAGGCAGCGGCTGCCAGGTGTCGTGTGAGCACCAAGCTTACCGGAGTAGTCTGAGACGGCTTCCTCTGAGTCAACGTTCAGGTTCTCCAAGCTGTCTGCCGTGCCGATGGAGGCCTCAGACTCCAGGGTCTCGTCATCGGACGCGCGAGGCTCCAGCGTGAGCATCTCGAAGGTCAGCTCCTCCCTGTGGGACGTGAATGGCGGCATCACCCTTGCAGAACGGGTTCCACGTGCACATGCAAGCACGCACGAACGCACACAGCGGCAGACTCACTTTTCCTTCTGGAGGTTCTCGATCTGCTCAGTCAGCACCCTCTCCTCCTGCTGCATGGCGATCTGCTGCTCTGCCAGCTCACTGTCCCCGGGCCCCTCCTCTGGCCCCGGCTCTTCAGGCACATGTGGCACTGGTTCGGGCCGTGGGCTTGCGGGGGGAGAGGGCACGTGCTGGCTGCCCCGGCGATGTCGCCCCTTGCCCTGGCAGACAAGGCAGTGCGCCTATCAGTGTGCTTCCTGTCTATGCCCAGCCAAACCGCCTCAGCTCCACCCTGTATGTCAGTGCCGGTGAGCTTAGCAGCCAAACGACCAGTTTAAGAGCGTGGCGAAGGTCCCTTTATCCTCTCACCAGGAACACTTTTCATGAAATGATCACTAGCACACACTGCTTTACCACTGCATAGGTTTCCCACGTATACGATGTTTTGGAACTTCACTACACCTTAAACTGGCAAGTTGCTCTGAGCAAGAGCATTTCTGAAACAAATTTATGCGAATGATTGCGTGAATCACTCACATTGATACAGAAAGTTTGAATGAGTAAAAATGCAGCTTAGGAGAGAGCATGCACACACACACACACACACACACACACACAGGCACAGCTATGAGTCACAAGGGATATTTTCATTGGCCTGGAAAGCAAGACAAGAATGACACTAGTTTTCCAACAAGAAAAGCCCCTAAATGAAACACACTACCGCTTACTTGACAGAAGAGTCCATAGACGAATAAATAATGATACATCCAGTCTTCTGGCTTGTACTTTTCAGGCGAATGCAGCTTTTCCAAGCAACAAACATTTTACCATGTATGGTTGGAAACGGGATCAGCTGGCAGCGAAATGAACACGAGGGCGGAGAAACGCACATTCCTGACTGGCCGTCTGCTGCGGCGTGGAACACCAGGCCCAAACCTGCATCCAGCCCAAGCCGTCATGCAGCCCCCAGCGCCACGTCGATCGTTACCTTACTGGCTGCCTTTGGCTGCCCAGTGCCATGGAAACAGAACGCGAGGGATGGGGGTTAGAGAGACACGAGCTAATGACCCCCACCCACTTAACCGACAAGGACGGCAGGAAGGGGTTATGCTAATGGTCTGCTCCCAGTATGCCCAGCAATTTTAGGGCATCTTTAAAGTGATTTTTGTTTTAAAAGGCAGAAATGTCCTCTGTTGGGTCTGGTGACATTTTTCATGCATGATTCATAGGACTCCATGTGTCAAACTTGAATGGGTAGGGATCCCAAACACAGTGAGGTGACACCGGGACAGGACGGCACAGCGTGTGACGGGCAGATGCTGAATCACGCAGCTGACGGCAGCAGCAGAGCTCAGGAAGTGTACTGCCAAGATACCTGTGCTTACGCTGTGCTTCTCAGTGCATGCCACCGCTAAGACCTTAAGACACACACACACGTTCGTATTCTGGACAGTATTATCAGCGCATTTCCAGGGAGCAAGGTAGCCAAAAAGCCAGTCTCCTAATTAAAAAGTAAATTGTTAGAAACACTAATCTGACAGGGGTGTTTAACCCGGCCAGTTTTGGTACCAGTGCCAAATACGAGACCCATAAGACCCATACATTCTCAGAAATCTCCATCTACAGTGAAGCTAACAGCGGCATTTTGGACGGTGATGTTGAAAAGCACATGTGAGCTGGCATGAGCTGAGCCAGCAGCAGCAGACGGTCACAGAGACAGACAGGGCCTGGAGACGATGGAGGAGACGGGTGGAGCGGCGCGGCCCGTGGCTGCAGCGAGCGAATGAGCACGTCACATGGAGACAGACACGTTATACGTACCGAGGCCACAGTGCGGCTCATGCTCAAAAACCTAACGGCAATAAGTACAGGTTTCTGGGGGGGGAGGTGGGGGAGAGAACAGGGTTAGAGTGACTGAGGAAGGGCTGAAATGGAAAAGGCACCATCCTCACTAGCGGGACGGGGGAGAGGAAGAGACAGGCTACCATGCTGCCCCTTTATCTGAACATTCGGCTCAACAAGCATCTCGTTCAAATTATGCAGAATCTGCTTCAAAGCAGACAGACCTAATAAAACACAGGCTTTACTTCCGGGCTTCTGAAGGGCTGCCTACTATAATTATTATGAGCAAATGTGAGCAAACGGGAAAAAATCAAGGACGATAAGGGAATTAAGGCTTTAGTTCTGTGAATTACAGGGACTGGGAAGGCATTTCACACAGAGAAAAACACCCAGAAGACCCGGCACTGCCCAGAATACTGAGAATACAGGCATCCCGTTAAGGCCCCCTATTGCCCCCCCGCCGTGTTCGTTTCCACCCCAACTGATCTGTACCATTGATCTCCGGATGAGGGTCAGCCGGCACTTGGCCTTGTTCTCGGCGAACTCCAAGCTGCTAATGTCCTTAAGTCTGGCTTTGTACTTGTTCATCTGCTCGTCGATGATTAGTTCCACACATCTGCAGAGGAGACAGCAGCATACAACTTGGTCAAGATGTCATTTAACGGGATTCCAGAAGGGGGCACCATAGGTGTGGGCCGGCGGTCGTACGCAGTAGTCCTGCTGATGTCCTGCACACTCTGCAGTGGATCGATGGTGTCGGGGCAGCGCAGGATGCAGGGGGCGAAGACGATGGCCAGGGCGTTGGCAGACATGCGGTTGGTCTCCTCCTGCAGAGCAACCCTACAAGGACCCCAGGAATGTGTGTTGGTCACAAGGTGGCCATGTAACCCTGCCCATGCCCAGCCAGCCCCCAGCCAGACCCCTCCCAATGCTCTCCCAGACCCTTCCCAGTGCCCTCCCAATGCTCTCCCAGACCCCTCCCAGCACCCAGCCAGTGCCCTCCCAGCCCCCTGCTCTCCCAGTACCCTCCCAGCACCCTCCCTGCCCCCTGCCAGTGCCTTCCCAATGCTCTCCCAGACCCCTCCTAGCACTCTGCCAGTCCCCTCTCAGTTCCCTTCCAGTGCCCTCCCCAGCCCAGAAGCTCCATATACCCACCTGACCAAATGAAAGATCAGGCGCTCTAGGGTGCTGAGGTGAGTTCTGCTGAGCTGGTCGATCACGGAGTAGATGCTCCGAATCACCTCCTTCCTGTCCTGCAGACCTGTGAGATCAAACATCAGTGCGTGAAGCTACGCCAAGCAGACACTACCTGGAGGTCAGCGAATAACAGTTCAGATAACCATTACTACTAAAATTTAATCTATAATAGAAGATACATTTTCGAAATACATTATATTTAAAAACTACACAATCTCTGCATATCTGTTTCTTTATGGAGTCATGTAAAGGAGAGTATGAAGAAAAGATTCAATGGATTTTTTACCCATGGCTCTAAGGAACTCCTCATAAAGTTCAAAGGTCATGAGTGGATTTGGCAAGTCACGCAGCCACTGCTTGAGGACACTGGCAATGACGTGGATGTTGTACTCGTCCAGATTCATACTGTTCAGATCTGGGTGTGGAGAGTGTGCAAGTGCATTAGTGCCAGTGAGGAGACTCCTGTTTACTCCTGCTCTCCCAGCAGCCGCCACTCTGCTACCCCCACTCATACCCGTGTCCAGCCCCTGCTTCAGTTCCTTGATCTTGTTAGCGGACCCCGATTTCCTGTAGATGCCCTCAGTGTAGAGGCCGTGCATCTCGATGTAGTTGATGAGCTTCTCCACGACCAGGGGCACGGTCCGCTCGTCGTTAGTCAGCCGTGTCACCTCCACGCCAAACTGCCGAGAGGTCAGCTCGGGCTCGTACTGCGCCGGCAACAGACACACACGTCAGTAACTGTACTCTTGAACACGAAAGAAAACAGCTTCTAAGTAAAGATGAGTACAGCGATGGCTGCCCTCCCCGGGACACTGAGGCACGTGTCGCTTTACCTTTTTGCTGCATTTGGTCGTCGTCTTCAAACAGCACTTCCTGTGGCAGGCATAGCGACACACTGCAGGGGAAACAGCATGGAGTCACGTCAAGTGGCCCGACAGCGCGAGTCTGCCATCATGGCGGGCAAGGGGAAAGACGACCCAGGGCATTCTGTGCTGGGCAGAAATGAACCGGCTCGTTCACCTGCAAGCTATGTGCTTACAGTGGGCTGCCGGCAGGAACAAGGTGGCCAGAGAGAAGGGCACTGGGCCGCACTCACGCTTGCAGACGCAGGCCCGGTCCATCATCCAGATGAGGGAGGAGCAGTACTCGCAGTAGGTGGGAATGCTGTACTGCGCCGACCGGAAGATGTGGCCACTGTGCTCCTCAACCTGCAGGGAATGCGATGCAGCTACACTTAACAAGTCAGGAGACCTCAGTGCTTCTGCAGACAACAGGTACTCTGGGAACCGTTTCACAGCTTTTAAGTCTGCAAGTGAGACCCAATCAGTCCTTGGGCTTTTTACTGAGCCAACGCAAAAGCATATGAACATCCTGGAACTTCAGGTCAGAAGCCTGATTTTAGTGCAATTTCCTAAATTTGAAACGAGTAACTGATCAGATTAGTCACAAAATATTCCACCAAAGAACACTTACAATATCGGCATCCTTCTTCCTCCTCTTCTTCCGGTCAGGCTTGGCCACCTGGAGTGGGACACCAGAATGAGTTCCCGCTGCAGGCCTGAACATGCGCGCTTGTCACTGCGGCCATCAGCGTGGTGCCCTACCTTGCTAGCCGCGCTGTCCAGAGGTTTGTATTCCGTCATGAACTCATCCAGAAACACCTTGAAAGTGTTGACCCACACTTTGACGGGGGACTCGGCCCAGACCCGCTGCTCCAGCCGCATGGTCTTCTCCAGGATTTGCTCGAAGAGCGCATACAGGTCTTTGCAGCGGATGCACTTCCCATCGTCCATCTGTAGGTGAGTGGGAAAGAGCACAAGTGACTGCTTTGGAAATTCGCATCTGCTCCCTAAGAGAGATGGCATGAAAGCAAGCATGTAAATGTGGCCACACACATTATCTTAGTAGAATTAGCCCAGTCAAAAGGCCCTCATTTCCTGTTTTAAACCTCACCCATCAGGATTAAGACTGCAGCTCACCTCAATGAATACCCTCTATTATATTTGTCGATTTTTTTCTTAATAAAACCCTGGACAAAAACTATTCATAGGGTTTGCATGTATTACACATGGCGAAAATAAGACCTTACTGAACAAAAGCAGGTGTAGCAGCTCAGGGGAAGCTGATGGTTACTCACGGCCAGAACAGTGGAATAGGAGTTGAAAATGTTCAGGCGGAACTCCTTGAGCGCCTTTTTGAAGACCACATCCACTAAGGTGTCTTTCTTACTGTCCTCAGTGTCCAGGTCATTGATCTGCAGCACAACCCGGGAGAAACAGGAGATGCGTCAGCACAAGCTACAGTGTTCAGGCGGTGAGGCCAAGTCCCCGAGCCTGGCTCCACCCCAACCCCTGCCCCCACCCCCCGGGGCCTGAAGACTGGAGCGGAGCAGAGGCAGCTGCCCACCTTCTTCATGAGGAAGTCGTTCATGCTGCGGTAGTCCGCGGCGCTGGTGAGGATCTGCAGGGCGTCGTTCTGCCAGGCAGCGGGTTCCAGGGCTACGCCGCTGATCTTCACGCTGCGTCTCCGCTTCATTTTGGGCGACGGCTCCTTGTTGTCCTTGAACTCCTTCCCCCGCTCGCCGGGCAGCGTGGGGCTGTGGGGGGGGGACGCAGGCTGCGGCCCTGTAGGAGCGAGAAGACTGTGGTCAGGGGGTCGGGAAGCGGAATGCTCATGTTCCCCGCACTTACTTAGCAGAAATTTCCCACTGGCTGCCAGTGTGGTTAGGAGGTTATACCTCTGTGCCAGCAAAGACCAGAACAAGCTAGATCAAGAAATGAGAGATTCTGATACCTGCTTATGGACTTATTTTGAAGAAATGTTTTCTTAGGATATATCACCATCCAGTCATTGTGTGTATATGTGTCTGCGCACGTCTGCGCGTGTTTGTGCACGGGCCCGCATCTGCGCATGTGTGTCTGTGTACTGCTCACCCTCTCCCATGAACAGCCCGGTGTCAGTCAAGTCCCCCCCAGGTATGTCAGCGGTACTGGCCAGGGATCTGATCGCCTTCTTCTCACCCTGCTTCATTTTCCCCCAAAACCGCATCTTGCCTCTCATCCTGCCACCCAGGGAGAACACAAAAAAACAAAATGTCAAACTCGCACAGGACACAAGAGACGGCAGGTTAGGTCATCATCACGTCCAACATCATCCTGCCAGAGAAAGAACACAAACAAAAGGAAATGCGCACCGACACCAAAGGGTGAGAAAACTGGAAAATAAACAATAATAAAGGAGGGTCCCGCTGTGGAAGGTGTTCCCCATTTTCAGGGACAGACCCCAGGCAGGACAGGCACATACCTGCCGTCCGTGTGGGAGCTCTTCCTCAGCGAGTCCGCCTTGGCCAGATCCCCTGAGGAAGCCGCTTTATGGCTTTTCTTCTGATTCCCACCAGCCAATGATGCCTGCAACGTTAATGGATGGTTGCAGCTTCAGAGTGGCGAGAAAACTACCCGCTGTGATGAGGTCATGTGACAGAGCTTCCCAGTGGAGCTCCTCTGGAGGCGCTGACGGACACCCATGAAGATCTCAGACACAGCAGCACTGCTCTACACTAAAAGCTTACAGACTGAGGCGAGACCATACACCCTACTGAGCAAAGAGCCAGGAAGGATCCATTTTCAAACAGGACTATGCTAAACGCATATTCCCATAGCAAAGGAAGAGTCTACCAAACGTAAACATACCAAAACTACCAATTCCTTATGTACACTTAAATGCTGAGGTCATACAGGAATTACTCAAATGGCCTCTTCTGAGGTCTAAGCATAACACCCTATATTAATGTCCTAAGAGATGTGATACCTTTCCAAGTGTTTTAAAGGTAATACATTCCTGCAGCTCTAGGTGGCAGTGTAGTACTAGATTAAATGACTGATCCTGCTTCTACCGTTCGCTGAAGTGCACCATTGCTGGCCCTGTCATGCCCTGGCCAGAATCGTGAGATGCAACAACTCCTTTGTTCCAACTCCTCCCGTCACTTTCAAAGCACTGCTTAGCCAAACAAATCATCTAATCCGTCAAATCAAGCACCAACATAAAGTGTGGCTTTGTAGCATTTGACGCTAAGTCATTCGTTAAAAGACTGACAAGTAGTGACGCAAATAGTGATCAACAGATTGCGATCTACAGATTTACAACACAAAACCCCTTCAAGTGGCCGTTTCCACAGGCAGCCGTGCAGAGCTCCGCCCTGGGGGAGGGGCCTAGCTGAGTCTGAACGTAGATTAACTGAGTTCGGCATGTCACCAGTCACACCTACAAGGCCTTGCCCAGCAGTCACACGTCACATTACGTCACCACTGCGACACAGGAAAGTCAAGTCCCAGAAGAAAGGGTGAATGAATCGACATGAAAGCGGTGAAGCCTGCCCCAGGCACTTCGCTGGGGCCCCGGGCCCCCACGGAGAAGCACAGCACCGACGGTGTGGGAGAAGGGGGAGACGACGACGACATGCCGCCTCAGACGGCTGGTGTGGTGGCCTGAAGCATGCAGTAGCTAGGTGGGACCAGCTGGGGGTGGCAGTGAGAGAGGGGTGGCCTCGTGTGCCAGACTGGAGCTATAAACCACAGTATGGACAGCAGAGTGGGTTAGGGTCAGCTACTCTCTCGCGGGCAGGGCAAACACGCTTCTGATCAGAGCCATCCTCGTCTACAAGGACAGGACAGCTGATTATCACACATTCTGGACTGTTTAAGCAGGATGTTTTAAAGAGAGTCAAGCCAAAAGATAGGGCAAGTCTCTTAAAGCATAAGTGTTGTAGTTAGCTGATACAAATTTCTTTTGCAAAAGTGTTCCTTTGTCCAAATGCTGAATATTAACTTTAGCAATTACTTTCATTGTGTATATTAAAATGGATAAATGCAGTAATAGACAAACAAAAATCTATGAATTATAAGAAAAATTATGAGCAGTATTTTTAGAACGACGCCAAAAGGATTATTAACATATTTTGGCGTGCCATTTTAGCCATTTATTTATTTTCCCTAAAATTTCAAAAGGTGTTTCCCCGTCAAGAGTAGAGCGGAAGACGCTACAAAGAATGTGGAGCACTGAAGCGGTTTAGTACTGCGATTTTTCCCAGGTGGGGGCTGGAGGGATTAGCAGTAGAGAAACACCCCCAGCAGCATCCCCCCACCGGGAGGGGCCCGGTGGGGCCCTGGGCTCATCCATTTACCATTTCTGAGTCACTGAGATGACTGTCAGCTGCCTCCCCCTCAGTGTCCTGCTCTGGGGGGGGCACACGGGGGGACAGAGGGGGCGGGGACAGGTAGTCACCCCCCTCATCCTCCTCCGAGTCGCCCTCCCCTGCGGGGTGTGACCCTCGGCTCAGGAAGTCGGAGCGTGTCCGTGCCATGCGGGCTCTCTTTTTATGGCCAGCTGTGGCGACCTAATTAACCAAATGATAACAACACAGGTAAACGCCTCTGGCTGCCGCTGCTCGCTTGTCCGTCAGCCCCGTGACCCATCCGCACCCGGCCAGATTCTAAGGTAGGACACAATCTAAAGTGGGGATTGGGGCTTTGGGGGCTGGGACTCTGTGGGGGGGGACACCTGCGGATGCGGCTTTGCATTAGCCGAGGAGGTTGAGGGTAAATATATACACATTTATCTCTGTGCTGGAGACAAAACAAGAGATATAAGAATATACTCAACAATAAACAGAGCTTTAAAGACATTACATTAAATATGGAAACTACATTAAGGACACAGCTGTGCATGGCTATGGAGTGCTCAGTGCCACAGTGTGCTCAGTGACGACTGGCTCTGTAGGCACGTCTGCAGCCATCGTCTAATTCCTGGCAGCCCTACCACACCCACCCCCTTTGACTCAGTGGTTTCTGAAACCTTATAGAACAAATGACCAGTTCAGGAAGTTCGCTTCTTTACTCACCTCACGTCCTTTCAGCCCCTTGGAGGACCGGGAACTTCTGAGCCCTTCATTCTTTTGGAAAGCCTTTGACCTTTCCTGATTGGCAATGTCCTTATCGGACCTGTAACATGTGTAAACACTTTGAAAATGCTGTCCTGTTACACGGCTACAGTGAATAAAAATGCCATGTCTGTTACTCACTTGGAGACAGTCAGCTTGTTGTCTTTTGGTGTGAAGAAGATGTTTGTTGGTTTGGTGGCTGTGTTCAAGCCCTGGATGGGAACTTTAATGTGTGGCCTCCCTCTGGGAAGACCCTCCTGCAACTCCAGGGTCAGCTTGGGTGCCCACCCATCCATCACGGGCCTTCCTTCCAAGGATGGGATTGGTTGATTTAGGCTAGTCTGTGGAGGAGGCTGCTTTCCATGACGTATGAGGTTTTCGGTCATCTGGGCATCCAGGATTCCAGGAGAGGCCAGGGTGCCGGGCAAGTGGAGATGGCCTGGTCTCTCTGGCTTGCGACCTGCAGGTTCCTGTGCCAAACCTCTTTGTCTGCTCTGCTCAATCTTCAGCAAAGCCTCCCCCCGCTGCTTCTCCAGAAGGTCCCTCTCATACTGAGCATAGCACTTCCTTTGCTTCTTGAGGTTCTCCGTCTGCTGTCGGATCTGCTCCATCATCTCCCTTTCTTTCTGCTGCTGCTGCTGCTTCAGGCGCTCCTCTTTCTCTTCGTTCATCTTCTCCAGCCTCTGGAGGACGGCCTGGCGGTTGGAGTCCTCTGCCCCAGGAGTGCACGGGCTCGTCTGGACAGATCTGTCCCGGAGCTCGGCTGCTTTTTGCTGACTGCCATAGAGCGACGAATCCTTCTGCATGCTGATGAGCACCACCAAGGGCTTCTGAGAAGGTTCTTTCATCTCTTTAAGGTGGTTTGCTACTTCTGCTTGCTGCATGGCAGGAGAGGAGTCCGTGATGGGTTTCTCGTGGGGCGGGATGTAGAAGGTTGGAAGGTTGTTTTCTATTTTGGGAGAAGGACCTATACTCATGAAGTCCGCCCTGAAACCAGTGGAGAATCCATCTGAGCTGACAGGTCCTGGTGGACTTGGAGATGTTGGACTGCTTTGCGTCTGCTCAGGGATCACAGTAGTAGAGCTGGTACCTTCCACTTCCACAGTGACATGCAAGTCTTTAGGATAGTCATCTGTACCGTACAGCTCAAAGCTCCCTTTGTGACTCTGACTGTGAGGAGTTCCCTGAGGCAAGTGGATATCCACTGAAGCCATCTCAGAAGGCCAGTTCCTCTCCTGGGTCGGTGACAGAGCCCCTGTAGACCTCTCAGAAGGCCAGTTCCTCTCCTCAGATGGTGACAGAGGTTCTGTAGACCTCTCAGAAGGCCAGTTCCTCTCCTCAGATGGTGACAGAGGTTCTGTAGACCTCTCAGAAGGCCAGTTCCTCTCCTCAGATGGTGACAGAGGTTCTGTAGACCTCTCAGAAGGCCAGTTCCTCTCCTCAGATGGTGACAGAGGTTCTGTAGACCTCTCAGAAGGCCAGTTCCTCTCCTCAGATGGTGATAGAGGTTCTATAGACTTCTCAGATGGCCAGTTCCTCTCCTCAGATGGTGACAGAGCACTTGTAGACCTCACCTTCAGCAGCGTTAAGCTAAACTTTGCCTGCTCCAGTTCCCTCTTCCTTCGTTTCTCTCGCTTGACCCTGGTCTTATGGCTGGGATCCTCCAACACCTGAGGCATCTCTTTCCCCGTCAGCACTCCAGCTGATGAAGCTCCTGCTGTAGCTCCCGAGCTCGTGACCCTCAGTCCCGCCTTCTCCTCCTCAGCCTGCTCCTGGGTGCCTCCCATGGCGGCACCAGACCCCAGGGGGCCCCACTCCCGCTCCTGGCACAAGCGCTCCTCCCATGTGCTAAGATCCAGGCCAGTGGTGGCCAGGATCCCATCTTCTGGCTGAGGTCTGTCCTGTAGCTGCCTCTCTCTTAGCTTCTGGGCTTTCAGATCCTTAAATCTGACGAGAGAGAATTCAGCAACACGTGGCTGTATTACAGAAGGACCAAGGGCAAATGGAACGTTGGCCAAACTAACCGCGACATTCATTTCCATATTTATCATATTTCTGACTGACGTCTGTGAGCAGCGCCCTGTTTCTACATGGCAGCACTGAGTGAATAAGGCAGGCTGTACCTCCTCCTCGCTGCTGCTCCCCTTGCTGCGGCTTGCAGGAGAAGCACGGAGCCCCACATCCTCAGATAGCGCTCCCTCTGCCGGTGGCCGCGCCAGGCCGCCTGGATGGCGCTCGCTGCCTCTGCTCGCCGGCGTCTCCACAGCCGCAGGTTCCTCTGGATGACCAGAGCCGCTTCCCGCCAGAGCAGGAATTGACGCCGCTGGCTGAATCCCCTCCAGGCGGCCTGAAGGCACAGTGCGGCACGGAGGACGCGGTCCGGCCCCGCTGCCCCCCCGGCGCCTTGCAGCCGCCGTCTGCGCCACCATCGCTGCACAGGGAAGGAGAAGACACGCTTTTCACTGTCAGCCTCACATGCTCCAGTACTTTCTAACGGACAGAGCAGTAACATATTACAATATTTCTTAAGCATGAGACTGAATGAAGGCAACAACGCCCACAACTGTCTTGTACACGTTAACAGGAATTTTAGGTTTTCAAATGGACATGCTATAGTAAGTTTCACAGGGTTCCCCCAATTCTGGCAGAATAAATTTCCATGACTTTTCCAAAACTTTTCCAGTACCACAAGAAAATTTTCCAAAATCCACAAGTTTGCTTTGATTTGATGACCATGCAGTTTCAGATAGTAATTGTCCTGCCCCGATCGTCCGCTCCTTCCATGTGCCACGCCCCCTCGTTAACCTCGTGTGGGATCCCCATGTGATCAGCTGTTTCTGCTTGTTGTCATTAGTCCTCTGTATTTAGTCCGCGTTTCAGTTTGTTTCCCCAGTCCGGTCATTGTAATGTCACTGCGTGTTTTCTTGCCTGCCCTTTTTATTAAACCCCGTGTTCCCTGATTTCCTGACTGCCGCTCCTCTGTCTCCGCTCCGCGTCCCGCATACGGCATGACAGTAATACTACAATTATCGGTACGATAATAGCCAATGTGCTTACCAAATAAACACAGATGGTGGACAACTTCCACCAATGTGCAAATAGCATTCAATTATTAAAAAAATTATCCCAATATTAAAATTATATGTACCTTATGATTGGTAGAGGCAAACTGAGTCAAAAACGGGAAACTGATCAATAAATAAATAAATAAAACCATAAAAACTGGAATAACAGAGCAAAAAAGAAGCGATCTCAAATACGTAAAATCTGCGCGGAAACGAATGTTTACCAAAGTAGTTAACTATTGACTTCCACTCGTACATTTCTGTTAGCGCGTTGCGGAACGAAGCTGGGAAAAAAATGAACAAGGCTAGTTTCCGAAAGTTTTCCGTAACTTTTCCTCCCTATCCAAGAATTCCAAAACTTATCCAGGGCCTGGAAAAATTATTGAAAAATTCCAAAATTTTTCCAGGTTTTCCATGACCGCGGGTACCCTGGTTTCACTTTATAAGACAATGGAGAACTTTTGTTTCGTTAGGGAGAAGAGGACTTCAGAACGATAAAATGCCAACAGAATCACACCACAGTCACCACAGGACTTACCAAACCCTTTCATACCAGTGACACTTATTTACATTAATAGCTTCAGTGTCATTTCCACTCAGCGACCCTCTTTTTATTGACTGACAGCATCCATTAGTCAGAAAAAGTCCTTGATGACAAAAAGCATTCAAACACATATGAACACTATGGGGACCATCGGCCTCCATTCAGTTTACTCACCGCTCTGGATGAGCTGCAGATGATAAGCAAAGCTGATCTATTCAAAGTGCATCAGAAAGTCATGTTACGGAGAGTAAGCAAGACAGGGTGTGGTGGCTTGGCTGGCACCATGGTCAGAGAGCGCAGCCTGGTACCGCGTCAGCACAGAGACACCCACCTGGATCAGGCACGCCGCCAGCCGCATGACGAGGAAGCGCCTCCTCTCCAGCGCGGCTCGCCAGCGGAGCTGTAAGGCCACGATCCGCCGCAGCACCTCCTGGTGCAGCAGGTCCTGCAGCTGCTGGCGCTCTGCCTCCCGCAGGAATACCTGGGGGGTGACATGGGGACGGCATCACATATGGGGCGGGGACGGCCCTCCCCTTGGCCAGTCACGCCCCGGCCCCTGACCAGCCTGGAATGCCCAGTGTAGGCCGCTGGTGAGAGCCCGGGGGGTCAGTGACAGAGGTACACTCTCTACACACGGTGGGTGCGTGGGTGAGTGGCACCCTTGTTTTGGACACATAACAGGCTGAAACTACTGCATATCTATTTTTAGCAGACATTAATGAGAGAGGGAACATTGCCCCCCCCCAGCCCTTGGACAGAGCTGCCTGATTCCCAGGTATTGGGCTCAGATCCCGTCTCAGCTAGCAGTGTGTGGGACTGCCAGCTTACGCAGGTATCCTCCCGCAGGCTAAAGGCTATGCTCATGGGGAATATGAAGCCTTGGAGTGTCATTGGCGTGATCCTGTGTGTGTGTGTGTATGAGCGAACGTGTCCCTGAACTGGGGTCCCCATCAGGGTGTGTCCTCTTTGATGCCCTCTTTGATGCCCTCTCTGATGAGCAGCATTTCCTGGAATAGGCCCTGAATCACCCCAACTTTTATGTGTCATTATGTTGTAATGATCGATACAGAAATGTACATGGCTGAAAATTAAGGATAAAATGTCTGCATAAAGTTCAAATAACTGTTTATATTTAACTTCCAATTTCATTTAATTAAGGGCCCGACCACAGAGGAGCTTTTTAACCACCTCAGCGACCTCCGCACCAGAGATAGGGGAGTCCACCCCCAAGTCCCCAGACTCTGCTTCCTCATTGTCAGCGGGATTCAGGAGGTCTTCGAAGTACTCCTTCCACCAACCCACAATGTCCCGAGCTGAGGTCAGCAGCACCCCATCCCCACCATAAACAGTGTTGATGCTGCACTGCTTTCCGGCCCTGAGCCTCTTCGAAGCTGTCCGGAAGTCGTTCTCCATGGCCTCGCCAAACTCCTCCCATACGTGAGTTTTTGCCTCAGCGACCGCCAAAGCCATGTTCCGCTTGGCCTGCTGGTACTCATCAGCTGCCTCCAGAGTCCCACAGGCCAAAAAGGTCCAATAGGACTGCTTCTTCAGCTTCACCGACCACCTTACGGCTACAGCTCCGGTCAGCCGCCAGCCACAATGGAGGCAAGGAACATGGCCCATTCGGACTCAATGTCCCCCGCCTCCCCTGGGACATGGGTGAAGTTCTGCTGGAGATAGGTGTTGAAGCTCCTTCTGACAGGGGATTCCGCCAGATGTTCCCAGCAGACCCTCACCATACGCTTGGGTCTGCCAGGTCTGACCGGCTTCCTCCCCCACCAGCGGAGCCAACCCACCACCAGGTGGTGATCAGTTGACAGCTCCGCCCCTCTCCTCACCCAAGTGTCCAATACATGCGGCCGCAAGTCCGATGACACGACCACAAAGTCGATCATTGAACTGTGGCCTAGGGTGTCCTGGTGCCAAGTACACATATGGACACCCTTATACTTGAACATGGTGTTCATTATGGACAATCCGTGACGAGCACAGAAGTCCAATAACAAAACACTCAAGTTCAGATCAGGGGGGCCGTTCCTCCCAATCACACCCTTCCAGGTCTCACTGTCATTGCTCACGTGAGCATTGAAGTCCCCCAGCAGAACAAGAGAGTCCCCAGGAGGAGTGCTCTCCAACACCCCTTCCAGGGACTCTAAAAAGGGTGGGTACTCTGAACTGCCGCTCGGCGCATAAGCGCAAACAACAGTCAGAACCCGTCCCCCCACCCGAAGGTGAAGGGAGGCTACCCTCTCGTCCACCGCGGTAAACCCCAATGTACAGGCGCCCAGCCAGGGGGCAATAAGTATGCCTCTCCCCGCGAGCAACTCCAGAGTGGAATAGGGTCCAACCCCCCTCATGGAGACTGGTTCCAGAGCCCAAGCCATGCGTTGAGGTGAGCACGACTATATCTAGTCGGAACCTCACAACCTCGCACACCAGCTCAGGCTCCGTCCCCATCAGAGAGGTGACATTCCATGTCCCTAGAGCTAGCTTCTGCAGCCAAGGATCGGACCGCCAAGGTCCCCGCCTTCGGCCACTGCCCAACTCACACTGCACCCGACCCCTATGGCCCCTCCGTCAGGTGGTGAGCCCATTGGAGGGGGGACCCACGTGCCTCTTTCGTGCTGTGCCCAACCAGGCCCCATGGGTGCAGGCCTGGCCACCAGGTGGTCGCCATCGAGCCCCACCCCCAGACCTGGCTCCGGGAGGGGGGGGGGGCCCAGTGACCCGCGTCCGGGCGAGGGAAAACGTGAATCAATGTTTTTACTCATCATAAGGGGTCTGATGAGCCACACTTCGTCTGTTTCCTCACCCAGGACCTATTTGCCTTGGGTGACCTGGGATCACTGGAACATTCAAACCCCACCACCATGATAAGATGTCGGCCCCAGGACAGGCATTTAATTTTCAGATTTCTAAAACACTATTATAGTAGGAAAAATCTGAACATAAAATGGCCATTTCACTCTTAAAAAAAAGAATGTACCCCAACTTTTGAGCCACTCTGTATATGCTACCCATGCAGCCTGTATACCGTCTCATCCACCCATCCACCCACCCATCCATCCATCCATCCACCCCAGTGCAAGGTTGCAGTGGGCCTGGAAGCAGCCCCAGGAGGCCCAGAGGACACTGCCAGCGAGCAGCTTGGATGGGACGCCATCACAGAGCACTTACACATGCACTGGGGTGCACATACCTGCACGCACACACATTCACATGACAACATGAAACTCTCTGCAAAAACACAAAGCGTTCAGGTCCGGCGGCCTGCCCGTACCATGGTGTGTCCCACTTGGTATCCGTCAGGGGTAAGGCTGGCCTGCTGCAGGAAGGATCTCATGCTTTGTGGGGTGATGCTGGAGGTGTCTGGCAGAAGTGCATGGAAGTGATGAGCAAAGTCCTGCGGAACAGCACAAATAGACCTCCTGTGAGCTGGGCGGCGGGCCGGGCAGGATAAGGCCCCCTGTAAGCCGTGTCGTGCGACTGAGACTGGCCTGACATCATCATACAACAACGCCGGACACTGGCAACCTGCTTTCGGCAGACGACAGCCCCTTCCCGCCGGGAAGCTGCAGACCTGTTTATGTAATTATCAGGGGGGGGGGGGGATTTCATTAAGGATAAGAAGGTCTCTGTGTTCACATGGCTGGGTACGGGGGGAGTGGCTGAGGCCTCCTGCCAGGAAGGGTACTGTGTCACTGCATTTGGGGAACAGGGGAATACAGGGCTGTGTTCGGGAGGGGGACTCGTGTAAACCGGGGGATGGAGCAATGCTGCCGACATGCTGGAGAACCCGCATTAATACCAACATCGCATGCTGTGCAACTATCACTGTGCAAGACCTGCAATAATGATGCTGTCAGCCCAGCTGATTAAGTTACGACAAAACATTTTTACAGGCGCAAAAAGAAAACTGGTCAATTTTTGCAATTTTAATGATTGTTGCCTTTCAAGAAGAACTGCTCATTAAAAATATTTTGGATACCATAAAGATGATAAAGTGATTTGCCGGCACTGCTTAATCTTTGTTGGCACAGGCTGACACACCAGCAGTTTATCTATTGATTTACATCTCAGAATTCAGTCTAACCAGAATGTGAGTGACTTGCCTTTCACACTACAAACAGATAAACTGCAGCCAACTGTAGCCAAATAAAACTTATTTTGGTGAAATTTCCAACTCCTTTTCATAAATATTGCAATATATTTTTCACAAAAAATTCAAATATCACAATGTGATTGTTTTCCAGTGTCATCCAGCCCTATCTGGCATGGCAATAAATGAATGGAGTAGACTATAAGTCAAAAAGTGGTTAAAATTGTTATTAAAAATAAATTGCCATTCACCATTACTGCCTAAGGCACTGGCTATTGAATGTTATTGCATGCTACTGCACTTGAGCTACCTCTGCAGTTTATTATCATTTTGTATGGAAAGATAAATATACTGATCCATACACAATATTCTGTATGTATGCTTCCGTGTGTGTGCGGGCGGGATAACTGAAATATTATTCAAATAATGTCTGGGGCACAAGTAATTCTGCCTGTAATTCCCATTTGTACTGGAGGCTGAACGTTTCTGCAAGACGGGAAGTCACAGAAAGCCAGCCTCACTGAGCAGGAGTATCTAACATCCTGCCCAATTGCAGGGGAGGGGAGGATAATTCCAGTGCTGGGGCAGTACAGACATTAAGGTAACGAACTGGGGCAGTGCTGAGGCACTACAGACATTAAGGTAACGAACTGGGGCAGTGCTGAGGCACTACAGACATTAAGATAATGAATTGGGGCAGTGCTGAGGCACTACAGACATTAAGATAATGAACGGAGGCAGTGTTGAGGCACTACAGACATTAAGATAATGAACGGAGGCAGTGTTGAGGCACTACAGACATTAAGATAATGAACGGAGGCAGTGTTGAGGCACTACAGACATTAAGATAATGA